CCCCCATCAAAGCAATACCTACTGCTATTCTATTCTATTCTATTCTATTCTATTCTATTCTATTCTATTCTATTCTATTCTATTCTTTTCTATTCTATTCTATTCTATTCTATTCTATTCTATTCTATTCTATTCTAACAAAAACTATTCTAAATGGCCGAAAGTTAAACGTTTCTGTCTGTTGCAATACATTCTCTGTTTTGTAAAGCGCTAACATATATATTGGCCTGCCTAAGTACGTAGACATGGAGTCGGGAAATGCTGAGAAGATGGCCAGAGCTGACCTCTACTATGATGATGAATTCTATGATTGTCTTCGAATGAACCATGTTCCGGCTGTAATGGCCACTTAAAGCGCGTACAGAAATGCCCTGCCGTGTCCGTACTGCGACTGGAGCCCTGTTATCTAGAGGAAGCGGTAATGAGCCATGTGGATCTCTGTGGACAGAGTAGTGCCCGGGGACTGCCTTCGCACTGCCTCGGACACACACCAACAGCAATTCGTGACACCAAAAAACAAAATCGTACAGCAGGGATGAAACTTGCAGAAAGTTTGCGTACACAAATTATAAATTGCAACGGACAAGACAGGTGATATATACATCCCTCATATACATCATAATACATTTTTTTATTTACCAAGCAATGTGGTGTCTGAAATAGTCAGCAGTTGTTGTGAACATTATGCATTATATACTTCCCAGACGTTGGATTTCTTGTTGTGTCTTTTTTTCTTCAACCAAAGGCCATTCCTAGTTCACCCAATAAGCAGGGTCGTGTGCGTTATTTATACTTGCCGCATGATGCCTTAACTTGAAAGCCGAGGACATAAAACCTTCATCTTGTCGCGAGCTGAGATATCTTAGAGTTGAACGACTTGTGCCGCTCCCTGTACCAACCGTAAAGTTCATCAGATTTATGAAATTTCACTCCGTCGGCGCAGCTAGCGATAAGAAAACGTCTGTGCCTAAACAGACTAACAGCGTTAATGGATACATCTGACAACTTTATTGCTTAGTTGTTAGAGTTTATAGACATTTCAGATGTGAGACGAAACTGTAATAACGACAGAGTTACAGTACAAGGGGTGGCTCTGGGATTTCCTACTTTCCTATCATATGGTGCCTTTGCCTGTTTTTCTTTTTATTTTGCCCTATCGCTTCATATTTTTTCATAATATCCGAGAACCAACAAATTAATGTGATGTAGCCTACAAGTCACATTGTTACGCATTTATTCCTGGTCTGTTTGTCTCCAAATCTCACCATCTCACGGGCGAAATTCTACCCTAAAATGTACCTTCAGTGACCTTTTCTCATCAGCCTCCTCTGAGCTCGGCATTATTGTGCCCCATGGCGTGATGACGTCACAACCCTCCGTACCACCTGTGACTAGTCCACGTAGCCTCCTGTGCAGACTTCTGGCGAGGCTGTGTTTGTTTCTACGAGTGGCTAGAGCGCTGGTTTCTTGTCGGGAGTAGGGCCTTGATCGGAGGAGAGCTGTATCCACCAAGCTCTATCGTATCGTTGGAGAGGCGTTTTTTTTTCACATTTATCAGTACAAAATTGTTTTTTTTTTTAGATGTGTTTGTGTCACGTTATAGAAAACCTTAGCCCGTGTGATAAAAAAAAACAGCGTACCAGCGTCTCACCACCACAAAATAAACCCCACCGCTCCAGGAAGTCTGCGAGCGAGGCTATAGCTCACGTACGTTCTTCATCTTTCCACAGTTCTGCACGCGTGCTCGCAGGCAGCCAGACCTCCTCACGGTGTGAGAGCCTCGCGATCCTCGTCTGAAACGGAGTAAACAACCACCGGGGGATCCTCAGAGAGACGCCCGTACATCGTTGTACCGTGTGTACGCTACGTGTGGGGTGTGGAAAGATGGATACGAGTCAGAAGACCGAAGAGGAGAGGGCACTGGCAGCCGGGGAAGAGACGCATGAGAAGATCGCCGTGCCGGCGGGCGTGGAGGAGGCGGGCGGCAGGGGGAGCGACCCGGACCCGGACCCCGCCGCCGACTGCAGCGATGAGGAGGAGCCCTGCTGCGGCGGAGCCGACAAGAAAAGGAGGAAAGGTAAAAACCGTCATTACACCTGTTGATTTAACCTAGATTTATAAGCATAAAACCTACTGCTTAAGATTTATAAGCATAATAAGTATTGATAAAACAGCATAACACCTGTTGTATCCAGAACCGTGCTATATCAGGAACCAGGCTCAGGTACGGTTCTGGATGGATAATCCACGCTGAAATCTAACGTTCTTGGATACGCCGGACTATCCAAAACAGTGCTTGATCCTAACCCTAACCCATTTAAGCATAGAACTAGATAGGCACGATTCTGGATACGATAATACTTTACTGCTTTATCTAAATTTTAACAACACAATACAATGTGGTGTACCAGATTTAGTCTGCAGTTAGAAAACACACACGTCAACGGTCAATGCAAAGCAACGAATATTATCTAAAGAAATTATAAGTAAATATTATCTAAAACCATAATAAAATGTGATTAAGTATTGCTTATGGAGCGGTCTTAGGTGGTTGTACGATGTTCATGTGGTAAGATTTTCAAGCAGGCTGTGACAAAACTAACCACCGACAGGGATCTAACACAGATTTCTCGGTAACAAGAAAGCCTAATTTCGTACGATACATGCACAACTATCTCACGAATGCTCTCCCTAGATTGCAATCGCCCGACGGGCATTATCTATTGTCCTTTCTGTGATGTAATGTCTCCTGCCCTCGATATTCTTTGCCGTGTAATCTCCAAGCAGATCCTAGGGCGGCAAAAAAAACAGCACAAAATTGGCCAGGCAGTATCCATTGGCAAGAGAGTGTCCATGCGCCTCCGAAGGTTTGTGGGGGTAGCGACAAAAACCGGGCTGTATTTAAAATGTAACGATCTTCCCCCATCAACCTCTGCTTGGAGAGTATTTGCCGTACAGAGTTTTACATAAAGGACTATCCAGTTTAATCTGTCGTCGTCGATCTTTATGATTGCTGTTGACAGTGAGAGCGTGACTGTGAATACACTCCACACAACGGTAATCATGAGCTGTTTTACTCCATCCGGTACCTAATTGCGCAGCCGTGCGTATAACTTTGGGTACAGGTTTAAAGGCATACAATTTCGGGACAACAAAACGAAACAATTTGGATGAGTACAATTTTTTGTGTTGGCCATTACAGTTCAAACTTGTTTTATAAAAACAAAACAATATTCTGGATGAGGAAATATGCCTAATATTGACATTTACTGCCATTTCTTAGCATATTTTTTAAGTGTCTGAATAGCAAGCTACGTTAGGTGTGCTTTTATATTTTGGTACGGTTGCTTGTTTCGATAATGGTTTTTGCTATTTATTGGTACAGCAAGAACCAGTATACGAAACAATCAACCGTTTCCCATCAGCAACATCACATTTTACCTTATAATCGTCAGTATGCCATGGGATAGGGTTGATTTATCTTACTACATTAAAAATGACCAGAAATCTGACTTTGAAAATCCAGTTTTGCTGCCCTGAAATTACTTAGGGTGCCCAGCGTTCACACTTGTTGAAAGTGTTCAGGGCTTGTGCCATTTAAGAAAGAAAGAAATTTACTTGTTGAACATTTGACGCGTCTTGTTAAATATTGTACGGTCCCTTGTTCAGATGAATGTAATTTCGACACAGTCTTGTCTGGAATTCATTTCACTTTTTCATGCACACGTTGAATAAGACAGAATGATTTTTTTCACGTTGTCAGGTGCAGTCATATCTCCAAAATTTTTACTGCAAGATTCAAAAACAAGGCAGGACACAGTAGTGCAGCACTCAAGTGGCATCAAAGGCACCACTTAAAAACGAACCCATAAAAGGATTCAACAGTATGACATTGTATAAAAGTGTTATGTACAAAAGTGTTTTGTTCAGTTATGTATTATGTATTTATAGTGTTTGATTTCTTGAATCGAAAGAGCTTTTGAAAATTAACACCTGACATTCTATCATCTTGTGTTGTTATGTCTACTGTAGGTATCAAAAAGCTGGTGACCGTGTATGAAGGCAGTTTTCTCCAGGCAGAGGAAGAACTAAAGACAGTTGGTGAGATAGGGAAATAATCATACCTTAACTGCAAATATTTCGCTTTGACTGATACAATTATTAGTATTTGTGCCTTGCATATGTATTCTCTTTTAATATGGGCTATCGGTCTGAGACAAAATAATAAAAACAAAGGATTAATGTTTTCTTGTCGTGCGTACATTCAATCTGTTCACGAGATTTTTGGTGTCCATCTATATATCTCAATATTCAAAGGAAAACCGTCTTTAGTTGCAACGATATTGGTGTATTTTACGCCCTTCTACCAGGTGTGTGTATGGTGTCACTACTGGTGTTCGTGGTACCGTCAGTCATCGTGGTCATCGCAGGTAGGTAACAAAAAAATAAACTTCGTCTAAAATTTTATTTCTTGTTCATTGTATTCAAAATATGTAAATAACAACAAAACACTTAGTTTTACTGTGCTGGTAACTAGATGATTCTTTTGAAAACCGACAGCATTTAGGACCTTTAATAACATTTAGTAGCACTGTCCTTGGTGCTGAATGCGTTCATTTGATACCTGTGTGACATGCGCGCCATCTTGCGGCTAAATTCGACAATGCACGCATCCACATCACAGCCTGTAGATTGCGCTACGCCATATAGCTTAACAAGCCCGTGGGCTAATTGCAAATTCTTGATTGACTACCCTCCGCTAGGCTCCTCCCACCTGCATGAGTGTGCGGACAGACCCATGGTGCCCCTCCTGCTGATCTCCGGCGGCGCCATCGGGCTGCTGAAGGGGCTGTTCGGCATCTGCTGCGAGACCAGGACAGTCGCAGTCAAGCCGGGCGGGGAGGCGTCCTGCCCCTCCATCCGCTGTATGGCCAAGGTGTTTGTTTCTTTTATGTTCACATGTTCAAAAAACAAATTAGCTAACATAAACAACAAAAGAAAAGTACAAAAGAAAAAGTGCGGAAGGGATACAAATTCGGTATATTCGTATTCGTAAAAATAAACAATAGGTCTTGGAGTCCCCCAAAATATGTCAGTTAACAACAACACACACATGGTCCTATTGTACGTTTACAAGACCAACCAATTCTTTCGAAAACAGACAGTATTCAGGACCTTGAATAACATTTTATAGTATAGCAGCACTGTCCTTGGGGCTGAATATAGCCTTCATTTGATACGCTCGCGACATGCGCCCCATCTTGCGGCTGAATTCGACAGTGCAGTTTTCTGTCACGTTATAGATGCTGTCCTGGTGCCTGGTGCTGTGGGTGGCCACCTGTAGCGTCATCATCTACTTCGACATCGACACGTGCAAGGCAGACCTGTACAACGTGCTGCTGTGGACCGTGCTGGCGTGCTACGTGGGCGCCGTCGTCCTGCTCATCTGCCAGGTACACACAGTCTAGCCAAGTCTGGAGTCATTACTCGGAACATTAACATACTACACCCAACACAAGCACTCCAAACAAGTGTGGCAGAGTATTCAACGGGTGGATGTTAGTCACCAGACTGTAAAAAAGATGCCCCGTCTAGTTTATAACACCTTCAGACGAGAGGCGGAATGAACCAGCTGAATGCCGTCTGAATGAAAATTCTTGTGCCCATACTTGTCGCTGGTCCAAATGTTTTGAGCAAGCTTAAAGTTTTTTCGAGGTGAATTCGAAGCAGAAAAATATCGAAGAGCATTCATTCTAACTGCCGTATAAGAGACAGCATTATTAATTATTTCGAAACATGTTGATCGAAACATTTTGATCGCATTCCAAAAACAAATCGAAATCGGTCTGAATATGAGGAATGCACTCCAAATTTTAAAGAAGTAGGGGTATACATGAACTTTTCGTTAAGACAAAGATTTTAGATTGATATATGTGTGAAATATGCCCTACCTCCAGGGACAAGAAGACATGGCAACAACAGAAGACCCAAGACCTATAATATATTTAATCACTAGTATTTTTCACTTCTCTTTCATTCCCTCCCAATATTGGAGTATCCAATTTATGTAATACAAGCTTATAATTATCTGATTTGAACAAATGGTCACACCCTTTCCCAACCCCCTTCCCAACTGCCCTTTCGCACTACTCAGATAAATGCGCACTTGACCTCTGACATTTGACCTACCCCCCAGTGCTGCTCCAGCGACAAAGAGGAAACCAAGCAGATCCAGAATGACGTCACCACCCTGACTAACACCACCGTGCAGGAGAGGATCGAGATGGTGTTCGGCTAATTGGTCATCACCATGGTGACGGCATGTGGTCGCCATGGCGACCAAAGGTGGTAATTGTTCAGATGTGATGGTGACCAGAGGCATGTCTCTGTCACACGGGCTAGCCTAACAAACTACTGCCGTGTTTATAGTGTTTATATTATTCTTACTCAAATAAATTCATAATCATATACACATTTGGTGACCAGTCCCTCTAACTTGCTACATAATCCAACACCACAGAGTGTCTGCTACAGCACCAGCTACCATGGTGACAGCCATCTGGTCCAGGTCATTGGTCTTATGTGTTTGGAGAAGAAGAAACGGAGCAAAAATATTGTTTTCCTTCTGCAAAGGTAAACACAAATATACATTGTTGATATATATACGACACTGTACCATTTCTCGCCAGATCTTTCCTAACGGTTAAATACACTATATACTTTTGAAATTTGAATCTTTCGCTATTTGTTGTTCTCATTATACTGTACACGTCTGTATAAAGTTAGTAAACTATTAGCCTAGTTCCAGATTATGGGTGTTCCACTGGTGACTGACAGACCATCATTCCAGCCGACCTTTCTGGTTACTGACGTCCTGTAGACGAGTAATTGAAACTGACACCGGTATAAAAATGGGCCTTATCTTGGCGGGCTTGCAACACCCCCGGGCGGTACTTTTATATTTTACGTAAAGAATACTGTAATAAACGTCAGAACTGTTTGAAAGAGAAAGAGCAGGAACAGACGATAGTAGGGAACAGGTTTTGGTAAAACTAATATTCTACTATAACTAAAGAGGCACTTTGTATTTTTACAATGTTAAAAAGTTCGTCGTCAGTATACGTAGTATTCAAGCAGAGGTTCGGGCTTGAGCTTATTTATGTCGCTTTTTAGGCGTTCTTGTCGGGCTTTCTTGTCTCAACGGGTACCTTATTTTTTGCCCGCCAAACGTTGTCGCATTGGATACTGCCCTGGCAAATTGATACTGTCATGCACAATTTGATACTGTCTTGTAGCCGCCAAAAGATCTGCTAGGAGATTACGTCGTCGGTGGCTTCTGGCGTGTCTGTGGTTGTGAAATACAACAATGATGATGTAGACTGTGCAGTACAGATTGGTCGCTAGGCGGCGCTATCGTAACATTAACCGGGCTTTCACTTGACGTGTGTCTTTTACAACTTGTAATTGTAGATTATAGTATCGTATCGGTATTTGTAACACGACGCCGTGAACCTCAGATCACGTTTAGTCAATGTTACGTTTATAAAAAATGTGTGGCGTGTGTATATTGTTCATATCTAACCAGATACAATGATTTTGCTCATTATTAGTGTTTCACGCCTGTTTGGGCAGCATTTATAGTACTCTTTTCTAGTATTTCACTTTTCTGACGGGAAATTAGCCCCATTAAAAGAAACCCTGGCCGATTTATCTGATTGAAAATGACCGGAATGTTCATACGTGCGTGGCCATTTGATTAGTTCATTTGAGTTGTTATATACTGATTTGGTGCCAAACGTTTAGGGAATACCGATCAACGACGAACAACCTGTACTAAATAAGCAGACAGAATGCTGGCATTCTGAGTCGGACATGAAAATTATCATGAAACAGTTTTATTAGAATATAACATATGAACGTGTGAGGAAATAAAGTACTTTTAGTTCATCGCTTTTCATCGACCAAACTGAAGAGAACTGAACAAGATGAATCTTTGACAAATCCTAAAGATATAATTCCAAGTGACGGCGAAATTTCTATCCTAAAATGAAAATGTGAATGATAATAGCTTTGATGAAAACAGTGAAACTGAATTCCAATCAATTCTTTACATGACACCCCGTCTCAATATATATGGTTATATAATAGAACATTTATATACGTTGTACACAGATAAATACATGTATAAGAAAATATATATATATAAGACTGTATAACGAAACCTGTTTCTTCTATTATGGGGTCCAGTGTAAAGTTTGTTGTACCATTGATAAACTACCGTTTCGTAATACCCGTCACTCATTGTCAAGTCTATCTCTCTCTCTCTCTCTCTCTCTCTCTCTCTCTCTCGTCTCTCACTAGTATGAATGAATGACAGTTTGATACGAAACAGAACGTAGAGATGAAAGAGCCTAGCCTCTACCAGGCGTACGCGTCAAAAGTGGTCACATGCCTTTCAGAGAGGCAAACTGTACAAACTGATCAGTTGTTGATTCATTTTGCGTTATATTACATTATTGGAAAACCAAAACAGCCCTAATTGTGGTCCTTGGCACGCTGAAGGTTGAAATAAAGGCTAGATTGTTCGATACGAGAAACAAAGAAAAGTACTGTGTTGATGTGATCTTGCGTCTGCCCTAGCTGTTTGGAGCGAACTGGTGGGAGTGACGGAGCAGGACTCAGGCTAATTAGCCACAGGTGGCTCCCGACAGCACACGCGCCAATTCTCTGTACTGTTACATGTTAATCTCAGGTCAGTCAGATACTGTATTAGCAGTGTTTATTAGCGAAGAAAAAAGTCAAAGTACACCCGGCAGGATTCATGCTGTTGGAACCGATGTTCGGACTCAATTGACAGGGTCCATCCCAAAACCGTCCTCCCTTCATCTATTAAAGGTGAGATCTTACAATTCCCTCAACACTTCAGCAATCAAAACATGCTTGGATATATGTCTGAGCCCCTAATATATCGACGTGTAGAGGGTTATGCAATGTAAGCCCGAATCAAGAGTCGCCACGGCTAATCGACGTGGTGACATTTCAGACAAGTAGTTAAGTAGTCTGGCTAGTACAGCTAACCAGCCCCCAGTTTATGAGGGGTGTCCGTGGTAAAATTTCCTTGGAGGACATGTTGATTCTGGAGACGAGGAGGACATATTGATTCTAGAGCTAGCCTATGTACAGTCCCTGGTAACAGTCTGGCACCCAGGCTAGTGACATTAATCGGGCCATATTTTCCCCCCGTGTAAATCGGCCCCAAGTTGTCGTAGCGTAGCATATGGTGGTGGAAATCGCTGAACCACCTTGAAGGAAGTTAACCTCCTTGGGGTGAACTCAAGATACGTCTGGGCTTTATCTTAGGATTGACCCCGGGTCACCCACCCACGGGTCTAGACTCCGCGAAGTGCGCTGGACCACTTGTCCTGTCCTGTTACGTGTCAATCTGTGAGGAGGAGTCGGGAACTCACGTCTAAAACAGGTGCAGACATGGAAGTGTACAAGTTCTTGGCAAAATCACTCGGGTCACAGCGTTTGATGTTACTGAACTGCAATTCCTAAGAATTCGAGTGTAGGGCATTAGAAGTCAACCCTTTGGGCATATTAGATCTTAGTATTTTAGAAAGGTTTGATTCAGGACAAAATTGGGCAAAAATAAGGTCAATGTGTATTTTCACAATATATAAAAGGAAAATTTCCTTTTCCTCCCCCCTGAACTCGAGTTATGGCATTGGAAGTCAATCCCTTTGGGCATATCAGAGACTATGTCCCTTAAAATGGATTGTTTCAGGAAGAAAGAGGGCAAAATACATACAGTGTGCATTTTACAACACATCAAAAGAAAATCCAGGTAGGTTACTGCTACATTTTTAAACAGCTCTAAAAATTTTCTATTTTGAAAGTTACACAGTATCGCTGAGGACAGACAGCAAAGTGAGTCAAATGACAAAAAAGTCAACGCAGAAACAACTTTATTCACAAGATTGAGGTAATCCAAAATATCTCTGATTATAGTGCTAATAACAGTTTCATTCACTTGAGGTATTTGTTTTTGCATAGCAAATTCCTTAGGCTAATCAACTCATGAATTACAGGCTCTTTTATTATTTTTCATAATTCCAAATGATTTGTTTTATCCTCTGTCAAGTCTAACAGTTGAACTAACCTTCACCCTGCTGACTAACCTGGTCACCAAAACAACTTTGTTGACAAACAGCTACCTTAGCAGGCTGAAGGTTAATTAATCTAGACATATCAAAGTGGGAGTGACATTTGCTGGGGGGGGGGGTATATAAATAATCCTTGTAGTTTCCATATATTATCAGGACAATGGTACATTTCTCATAACATCTGTTTCAAAACATTGTCTAACTCAAAAATACCTTATCCTATTCCCCTGCAATTGTCACACGAGCCCAATTTTCTTCAGCTCAAGACTTCAATACACATTCAACCAAGAACATCAGAACTTTGAACATTTCTAGATACAGAGAATCATCAACTTGAATCTGTGAACAGGTAACATGCAACTTAACATAGCAACATCATCATATCATCTGACACAAGTCTTATAAACACATTCCGTAAGATGATGAATAGAAATTAGTCAGTGGCTTTTTGAGTGTCACTCTTATTATATAGTTTCCAATTATAATCAACTTTACACTTTTTTCTGAAATTATGGACTTAGAATATTGATAGACATCACATGGATTGTCAGAGGTAGGTGGTGCAACTGGGTAAAATTCTGTACCCGAAATTATGATAATTTGCACCAAACAGAAATGATCTTGTGCTATCATTTTTCTGTTAATACTTCCACGTCATTTGATATTCCAAAATAACAAATATGATAGATCATTTTTTAATCAATAACTCAGAAACAATATGCAAAACAGAGCTATCAACAAAGCTATCTGCTAACTCTACTGGGTCTGTAACATGTCCCAACACTTACAAATAGAACTATCTTTACTTTCATAGCTAAGTTCCACACAGCCAAGCTATAAAGTTTTCTCCTCAACAGACCTGCTTTGACTCTGTGACCGACAGAAAGAACTTGAACACACCAGCATCTAAAGATGCTGTCAACATGCAACCTGAGGACTTTCCTTCATCAACCACAAATTGCCGAACATGATTTTGTCCATTTTAAGGCGACCGGTAACCTTGCATAGCTGTATAGAGTTACACAATACAACACAAGCTCAATACCTCTGACTCTCCCTCTCTTATGGTTCTGTATCAACCCTGAATGTCTATGCATGATTCTCTTCATTGTTAGAAAGATATGAGCTTGAAAGTTGGATACACATATTCAACCTTCTCCCTAACACATGCCCATCCTGCTATTAGTTTACAGAGTAAGTCAGTAGGGATATAAATATCTGTCAGGACCTTGAAGTTGAAGCCATTCTTGAATTGCTTTTACCGTAAATACATTCGCAGGATTTCCCACCACATTGGCAGAATGTACTGCGCCTGTACGAAACCCAGATTTTTTGCTGGATGTTTGGTCAGGGTTGCATCAGAATTTTGCCTGTTGCATATATGGAACCCATAGACGGGATGTCATC